AGGATGGCCATGGAAGATAGCACCCATGGACTGCTTTGACGTTGCTGAGCGGTTTCTCAGAGCTGCCGATGCGAACTGAGATGGTGAGTAGTAACTGCTCCTTGGTGTCCTGCCCCCTCACGTGGTGCCTGGGACTCTTGACAGACCTCTGTGCCTTAGCATGTCATCTACACCTAGTGAATTCCCAGCTCTACTTACTCCAAATGCCAGTTCCTCTAGGAAGCAGCTCTTCTGCCTGCCCCGGAGCCTGCGGAAATCTTGTTTGTAGCAAGGTTTGTAACCTTTCCTACCCTGCCTTGTGCCCCATCTGTGGGCTTGTCCATTTGGTCAGTCTGAACGTTAGCTAGATGGTCTCTTCAGTTACTTGATCCCTCTCGGCACCCATGAGGGTCCCCTGGTGAGATAGCACCCCATGTTTCTGTCTTATTGGTTGGATCTGAGGGTCAGATGGGAGGATAAATATTGCCTGGCAGGATGTGTTTGACAATGGGGAAATCATTTAGAAACATAAAGAATGTCTGATCCTCATTCGTTTTTTGTTGTTGTTGCTGATACATAGGATTGTTAGAATCCTGACTCCTGGCAGGTAGAAAGCAGAAGGCAAGGAGAACTCTGACTGGGATGTCTGCCCAGCACCTTTGGACAGTCATTCATAAATGAGCAAGATTTTTGTGAATGGAGCTCGCATTCTATTCATCGTGGTGCCACCTGGTGGTTATATGTAAGTCCTATAAGTGTGGCCTGCTGTCCTGGCAGTCGGAGGATTTGGATAGCAGGTGAACTTACCTTCAACTAGGAGTTCAGAAGGACTGGCATCTTCAGGCATCAAGAGCCAAGCGGGCACGAGGGTTGTTGTCAGGTATAGAGGTTGGTGAAGCCACTCTGGGGTCTGAGGTGGCAGCTCCTCGGTGGCAGGTTCTCCATCCCAGAAAGGATCATGCTCTTTGGGAGGCAAGAGGAAGAGGCTTGAGGGGGTGGCTCGGGTCTGAAGAAGACATTGCAGATGGGACTTGAAGCCGACTTGACCAGGGGAATGGCAAGGGGGGGGAGGCATGATGGCAGAACCCATCAGGGGAGCAGAAAAGGAACTGACTGGGGCGTTCCTTTTTCGACTGGATCCCTTCCAAGACCATCTGAGCCCTGGGATTTGAGGCTGTGCATGAATTAGAGTTGCATGTGTGTGGAGACATCATCCGGGCTAAGGAGAAAGACAGGGTTCCGTGGAAGCAAAGAGTGGCTGGATCAGATCACAAAGTAACAACTTGGGCCTTGAAAGGTGTCTTTCCTAAAGTCAACCTCCTGTATGTTTCATGGGACAGCTGTTTCCTTGTGTTTCCAATCCCCCACATCTCAGAGCCTCTCGTGAATTGCCCCCTCTCCCTGGTCCCTCGTGATGGGATGGACAATACAAAAGAACATTATCTTGTCTCTTTTATGCTCTTTGGATGGTGAATTCTGGAGGCAATCAGGTTAATAGATGCTACACAGTGTCGGCGACATGGCTCACAATGATTGCACTGGCTAATATGGTAACAGTATCCACATCTGGACAACTGTCACCGGTGGGTGCTTGTCACACCGTCTCCAGGTGGAAACCTTTTCTGGGTGGCCTGGGCCCCGGTCAGATGCGGTACCTACCACGGATGCTCAGGGTGATTTTCTGGGTCTTGTCCCGGTCTGTGACCCAGCCCATCCCACAGGCATAGACGCCACTGTCATGCTGCCTCATCTCCGTCATCTGAACCAGGAACAGTTTCTTACATGGGTCCGCCTTCAGGGTGACCCGACCAGAGTATTCTTTCTTGAGAAAGTCCCCAGACTTCCCGCTAGACACCATGGTGTTACACCTTCCAGAGGCAGCCATTTCCCGGCACAGGTAGATCCTTGAATACACTGGAGGCAGTGGACACTTAAAGGTAATGGATCCTCCTAGTTTCCCCTCCATCTTGACTTCTGGGATGATCTTCAGAGCCCCAGATACTGTGGGAAGAGGTAATTAATGCAGAAGATGCTCCATCCTCAGCGATGTCCCAATCCCAGCCTCATCTCCAACTCCAGTCAATCATTAAGCCCTAGGCCTCCTCCCAGCATAGCCTCCCTGTTCTCCCCAGTCCCACTGTCATCATGACTAGCCATCCGGACGCAGCCGGCTCGTAGCCTCCACCCTAAGACTTCCTGCCATCTATAGCCATCTACAGCCCTATGTCCTGGCCCAGCCTGTATCAGAAACACCTCTGCCCAGTCCCCTAAAGACTCAGACACAGAAATCTCTGAGAAAAGAATCAAAAGTACAACACTCTCGCTGAGGAGAGGCACGATGCCAGGGATGGCTTCAAGGGGCTCATAGCGCCCACGTGACTTCAGTGTGGAGCTGACAAGCATGCTGTGGCTGTGCTACCACAGGTCTCCTTCTCCAGGGGTGTTCTGTGCAGGTCGCTGGGCGGTAGACACAGTTTGCTCTCAGTGACTAACCACAGGACTGGCAGCTCCAATCCATCCAGTGGTGCCTCAAAAGAAAGACCTGGAGTAGAAGAATGCATGGAAAGAGAGAGCTACAGGGCTGGCCCCAGCCAGAGCCAAACTGACCTCCTTCCTAAAATAGGTGTGACAGAGAGCAACACTAAACCTACAGGCTGGGGTGAGGGGCCAGCATGCCACACCCACATGGAAGCAGACTTGGAGGGAGGAAGAGAAGGAGCTGGACTGGACCCCACACTGGCACACCAGGTCCAGAGGATGACGTCCCTGAGGGAGCTAAGGGGACACAGAGGGGACTGGGTGGCGGACAACAGCTCATGTCATGTTGTTCCCTAACTGGAGCAGACTTCGACAGAGGACAATTCTGGGGTCACACAATGGGGAGGTAGTGCAGTCTGAACCCCCCAGGGGGTGCAAACCAAAAGGGAACATACCAGACCAGCAACTGGAGCAAAGCAAAGCTACGAAGCCCCTGAGGAGCCCCCTAAAAGGTACTCCAGGTGGGGAGAGGCAGCTTCTGGACAGTCATGAAAGCCAGCGAACAGACCTGGGATTTTGTATACTTCCTCTCTCTCTCTCTTCCTTCTTTTCTCCATTTTCTTTTTCTTCTGGTTTCTTTTCCTTTTCTTTTTTCAATTTTTTTTTTCAGTTTGGGCTATGTCATAGTTGGTGTGCCTACCCGTATAAGACAGGCATGGGACACAAACTCGAGGAGAGAGCAGTGGGACCAACAGTCCCGGGAGACCTGGGGGGTGAGGCTAATGGAGGAAGGAGGTGGTGAGCTGGCAGCACCATAGACAGGGGAACAACTAGGGTACTGGAGTCAATAACAAGGAGGACATAGGGATCTGGGGTGGTAGGTCGTTAGGGTGTGTGTCAGCAAAACAGCAAACTAGCTAAGAGGAGGTACAAGAGGTGGAAACAAGGGGAAAGTGACAGTGGGGCAGGAGGAAGGTGAAAGGAAACAGAGGAAGGACCTAGGAAGCAAAGCAATGGACAGAGGTA